ACATAGAACATGTGGTGTCTATAGAAGTGAACTCCACGGGATATTTTGTACATTCCTACATATTTTTCCTAGTCATTTGCTAGCTAACTGCAGATAAACTACTCTTGATTTATGTACATGTATCTATAGATTCACATCGAATTACTTGCTACTGGCACCTCTCAATCTTTAAACTACTTTTCTACAACTATAGTGCAGTATCGATTTACCTAGTGGAAATACCGCAATAATAAGGTTAGAGAGCTTTTAGCTATAAGCCTATCCTAAACTACATACGCCTATAGAGGTAGATATTGAACTCCTTAATGAAACCGACGATAACATCCTTCACGAGTGGAATCACTACTAGGTATACCTCTAGTCATATTAGGTTCGTTTAGTTTAGGGAGTTTGAGATCTACCTTCGATTTCTAGGCATGGTGCTATTAGTGTAAAGTGTATGGGTAAATAACTTTTCTTTTTTTCTCAAATCTAGCTTATTTCGATCTCTTCTAGGCCTTTTTTAATCTCATTTACAGGGTAATAAAATTTCGTATGGAAATACTTTACTACAACGCCGGTGGTTATGTAGTACCATGGTTATGCAAGTAAGAAAAGTAGTATAGTTTTGGTAAGAGAGAAGTAGGTAGTTGTAGAAGGTGGTAAGGTAATGAAAAACGCAAGGTACACATGAGTTCTTGGCGGAGTTCGGCTGTTGTTCAGTGACTTGATATGCCGAGAGCATACATTTACACCAATCGCCAGACTTTGCTTTTCTCTTCCGAATTAGTCCGGTGCCGCAGTTCCGAGAGTATGATCATTGTGGCGTCCCACGGCATACGATTCACCATGTGCCACGAGCATTTCCCTACAATAGGGTTTTTTGAGCGTACTCAACAAGCACTGTCATCTTATGGGGATTATTCAAGTTGATATCTTTCTCTGCTCGGGGGATGCGAACGTTTGGGCCCTGTTATCGACGAGGATGGTATGCCTGAGATCAGATCTCGCCAAAGAAAGCTGATCATACTAGATAGAGCATGACCGCCTGGAGAACCACTGAGCTGGAAGTACGAAGAAGCGACGCATTCTTGAAAACGATCTCGGCTTCCCGTCTTTTTTTTTTTTTGAGAGGAGGACTTTCTTACTTTCTCCGAATGACTTTTCGGCATCTTCTGCTTGAAGGGAAACCGATGCTATACAATGAATTGCGAACATCAAAGCTTCGATCTCCCGGCCGACTTTTCCCAGACTACTCATAGCATCCAAGATTTGTTGTTGTATCGTTGGAGCATGTATAGTTCTGGTGGGTGGGTTCACATTCTCGAGAAATGCCTGCCAAGGCTTGAAGATATTCGAGGGGCTCAGGTGGAGATCTATTAGTGCCTCTCTTGTTGCAGATGTCGGGAGTATCGCATAGTCGTTGCTCACATCCTGAAAAAGGCATCGGCACCATTATCCGATCCATCGCTTAATACGTCTGCTGCATTGGAAACTAGCGAAGATGGTCAGAACAGACAGCAAGCAGGAATAACAAAATACTAACTACATTGATGACACTGATCCCAAGATTGCAGGTGTTAAGGTCAGAACTCTATCAGGCGAAATATAGCGCAAGCAACTCACTTGTCGAGATAGATGGGGTTGCCACCTTTCATGATCATCCTTCCAGACACTATTGCCTGCCTCAGTCCGTTGCTCTCCCCTAACATTGTGATGCCGAGGGGCTGAAGCATTTACGTCAAATCCCGTGCGTCTAACACATTTCCTCTGTTCGTGAGATACACTCCCTTTAGTTTGTCGAACCCTTGTGCGGCAAGGCGGTAGTGGAGGACGACAGATACTCTTAAAATTCGCCTCCACTCAATTCGAACAGGAGTTGTAGAAGTTGGGTCTATCGCGTTTGACTTTCCAATTGTGACAAACCACATATGCAAACGATATGAGTTTATTTGGATGGGGAGTCAATTGTTCGCCCAACCTTCAAAGAGCCATTGAGACTATCCATTGCTGTAGCACACTACTTGAAAAACTACCCATCTAGGTATAAGTGACTGGCATGCTGCAATAAAGCCATTTGATCTTAGGTGGTGTTCGGGAGAGAAAAGGATTCAGATCGGAAGGGCGGAAGTCGGTGCAGTTGTTTTGCCTTGAATATAAGGCATCAATCCCGCGACATCATCCAAATCTCGGTTGTTTCAGATTGTGTACTTCGATTGGCTTGCCTTTTCTCCACTACTATTGCTTGATTTCCGGATTAGATTCGTTAAATTCCACATTTTCGCTCGAAGTGTCAGAATCTGTTCGTGCGGTGCTCTATTTGGTCTCATGACTGTATCTCTACAGTGAGCAGACTCAAATTACAACCGGAGTGATTCCATTCGATCATCTCTATCATTACATGTCTTATCCACGGGTGATTTCATGACAAAGACCTCCAGAATACATGCCAAAGGACATTTCAAATGATCCGTCACATGTATGAGCCATGATGCATTTTCTCAATCGAGTCAGAACAGTCCTTCGGAAAGGTAAACATGACTCAATGTCGACTGAGCCTAAAGCTTCAGGGTGGAAGCGAATCCCATCTCATGTATTTGTTGCGATCCTAGCCTCTTGTGATTTGAAAGGCATTGGTTCTTTGTCTCTTTCCTGTCGAGCACTTCACGATCGAGTTTCCAAGCTGGATAATGCCATAGCTTGGGCATATATTCAGCTCCGGAAACAGATGCATGATCAAAGCCAATGCATTGAAGGTGGCCTGTCGCCGGGTGACGATATTGCCTTCATCTCTGAGCTATTCCCTCCCCCACCCCCGGAATATAGCACAGATATGCCTCAGGACAACGCAGAATATTCTCTGGGATATCTCGGCGATTTAAAACGATGCTGGAATACTTGCATTCGCCTCTCCTACCACCTGGCTGACCATGTGATTGAACATCATCTGGGGACCGATCCGAATGCCCAGCCTTTGTGGTCATCTTCCAAGACGGAGAAAGAAGTTGTCTACAGCAAAGCCGTGGCCTCACTCCAGGCCAAGCTTTTGCATCCGATGTATGGTCCCACTATGTTCAGTCATTTGGAAAGCGTGCTTACTCGAATTTAGAGCCTACGCGGTATTCTTTCTGGAAACAGCTGCATCTTCTGGCTCTGACTCTCATCACTCGGGTCATCACCGCAAAAACATGGCTTGTTCTGTTGAAAAACAGCAATCAATTCTTCGAAATGCACCTTTTGACGATCCACTCATACTTTTGTCGACCCACCACTGCATGCAGCTTCTCTTTTCGACGGTTCAGCGCTTGATGGGTCCGGAAATTGCTCATTCCACCACCGAAAGCTGGATTAGTCTGCTTCTCACCACTTCAACCATGGAGAGAATCGTCAGCTTCTTTGTTTCCATCGCGAAGGATGACCAAAGAAAACAAAACGGTGAGCATGACTCTACGTGGTCTCATCGAAAGGAGTTTTTGTGGGCGATGCGACGGGATTTGAACGAATTCATGGCGTCTTTCAGTGATCACGGCGAACAGATACTCCACAAGCCAACGCTTAACCATGTATGGTTCCAAGCAGCACACAATGAGATGGACCGACGAGGGGCGATTCCGCATTCTGTTGAGGATTCAGAAGTGCATGTGCTCCTCGGGTCTGTTGTGAAATTGGAATGTAAATACTGTTATGATTGTTACGATGAATGACTGCTCAGTGCACTTATTCGGCAACAGCTTGCAACTTGGTGAATATTGCAACCCAGGTTGTTTCTGAATGGACATCCAACACCAAACTAACTTGGAACATCAATTACCTTCTTGTTTGCTGTTTGCAAGTAGAAAAAGGTCTTGTATACTTGAAGCTCCACACTAAACTGCTTGTGTTCGGTTCCCAGTAGTTCGAGTGACGAGTACACGACAACGGACTTCAACCAGACTCTTTTCGCCTTCCCCCGAGATACCTCATTACGATGCTTCGAAATCGAAATATATCATTGAGCATGAATTCCATTGCAACCCGACTATATCCAAAGATAGACGCACTACACTTGAATCAGTGCGCAAGGTTGTAGGTCTCAAAGACAGTGGGGCCATGCATGACTTCGACGTTCAGGAAAACTTGCAACTCAATACTCTCACACCGGAATTGCTCGTCATAATGCTATCTTGTAAATTCCCGATAATCGGGCATATTTTAGCGACAATTACTATGGACCTGATTAGAAAACAAACTGCCAGGGAACAATCAACTGGCCTGATCACATCTCCGACAAAGTTCTAGGGCAAATGGGGCTTGCAATTATCGACGGCACAGAATGTTGGCAAGTGCTCCAGCATTGCCGAATCAACGTCTAGGTGAAAGCCATGGGGTTCAATTTGTTTCCGATGCCAACCAGGCTTTGATCGCTCTTGGGGTAAACTACACTAGAGAGCACACTGCATCACCGCCTGGGAAGGGATAGGATGACAGTCCTCTGTGGGAGCTGTTCAAAAATCAGCTCTCGTTGGGGGGTGGGCGAAGTCAGAGCTATGGAATTTGATGGCGTAGTTTGATGCATGAATCATTTATAATGACAATGCTCGCTTCCAAATATTTTGAAGAGTGGTTCATGATTATCCCATGACATCGGCGGTTGGATTCGAATAGTACATGAGGTGTATTTACGCAGATGGCTCTTGAGGACACAGTCCAAGCAATAAAGAGCAAAAAGCCATGGGTAAAAAGTGAAAAGGAAGATAAAGAGCGTGACGCTTTAGACATCCCAGAGTTGAGCCACAGAGTCAAAAGACATGGAAATGCTCAGCGAGTGCGGATGCGCAGAAGGGCCATCATCTGTCGGAAACACACGAGCCAGATATTATAATACACTATGAAGAAAAAGGGCGGAACTCATGCCGATCACGAAATCAAGACCCAGAGAAGGAAGAAGATCTACAACAGTCGTCAGTTGGATGTCCAGGCAAGAAACTCAACATGATCGAACTTACCATCAGAATACCAAACATTTTGGCGATTAGCCAGCGATTACCAGACACGCGCGTCCAATACTTCATTAGTTCTCTCTGCGCTCCCTGGACGTTGTCGACCACATCTTCGGTGTTGGCATCTATACGCTGGATCATTTCCGACTGCTCGCTGACCATCTGCGCCAGCTGACCAAAAATGCCCCCTAATTCGCTGATGGTTCGCTCGATGGCTTCGATGGCTTCGCCTCGAGCTTGAACATACGTGTTACTCGATTCCCCTTCTTCCATTACCATCAACTGTTGGTCTGATTGGAATGATGGACGCCCTAAGGGCGAAGGATTTGAGGGCTCAAGGGTTAAAAGATCGGAGGAGTTGCCTTGATATCCGGGCTGAGGTGTCCGTCGTCCCGAGGTGTTATACAAAGGCGAGTCTGAGCGTTGTGCATCGAGGGCACTGTGTGATTTGGAAGATACCGAGGAAACAAAGTTCTCGGTTCGTGTTCGGGAGGCCTGGATGTTCTTCGTGCGGACCTCGAGTACCTCTTTGAAACTAGCACCTACATCGGCCAGCTTTCCCTGCAGCATGACAACGACCTGAAAGGGATAATCAGCGACATGACCGTGCGTGCCGTTTCACGTGTCACGTTTCTTGTCTCACTCACATTGTCATTGTGTTCTCCTTCCTGGTCTGTCCTCGAGCGAGTGGATTTGGGGTGTTGCGCATGGGTGAGGGCCTGCAGCGAGGCGATATTTTGGTTCAGGGCGGCAAGGTCTTGCTTAATCACGTATGTCAACTCGGAGATTTCGACAGGTCGGTCGTCGAAGAGTGTTTTCCGTTTCGCCACTATTTCCTGGTTAGATTGCTAGTATTTTCTGGGAAATGTGACGAAACTCACATTCAGCCAATCGCTGCAATTTGGCCATTGTTCCAGTAATCCCCCTTCCTATATCTCGCGCCCGTCGCGCAAACTCCGATCTTGCCGCCTTCGCCTCATGAGCGGCACCGCGGGGCGACGCATCAGCCTGGCGCCTTTGCGCATCAGTCAATAGAGCTTGTCGCTGTGACCCAACTTTTGATGTCCCCAGGCGCTTCTGAGCATGGCCCAAGATAGCGCTGAACTCGCTGGTCCGGTCTTGTATCGACGGGCGAGCCATTTTGCGAATTGGAAGAATGAAAGTGATGCGAGGTTTGGAGATGAGTAGCTATAGTCTTCCAGAGTGCGCAAGTATTGAGAAGCAAATGTGAATTAACGTTGACAAAGGCCGAATTCGGTCTGGAAACTGGAGTGTGATTCTATCTGCAATCGATAAGGGGGGGGGCGAGGTGAAGACGTGTCCGGTTGCAGGTAGCTCCGAGGGTACAACGTCGTGACTTCAATTCAGAAATAAAACAAAGAGACTGAAGATACTCCGTACAATCAAGAAGATGGAAGGTTAACAGTAAACAGTCAAGATCAATCTGATTAACTCCGATGGTCCACGTTACTAAATCGGAAACGTGCCCTTACATAAGCCCCGCATCGCCACGTTAGTTAAAACTAGTCTGATGTCCTCGATAGATCAGGGGAATATAGCTCGTTTCATGCTAAAACTATTTGTTTTTACTACCTTCAGTTTCTGACATACAGTGTAGCTGGCTTGATATTCTTGTATTCTTTGGTGGATACACGTCATTCTTGTACACTAGTCTTGTTGCCTCCAATTATCCCAACCCATTTGATCGGTGCCTTTGCCCAACTTGGCCCAAATCGCCACCTTCATCCTTACACATATCACGAAGGGAACCGTGTTATTACCTTTTCATTAAAGTCTTACAAATTGCTCGTGTGAAAACCCATCGGAGATCACCAGGCAATAGTCAATGCTGGTCATCGAGCTTGCCTCGGTCCCTTTGTTCTTTTCCCCTGATGGCAGACCCCACCCAATCGCATGGCCGTGGAGCCCAGAAACTGTAAGACTTATCTATCCAGATTCAGTCGCATATTTAGTTGCACGAATGCTGAGACCTGCTTTAGCCCTTCCCCGCCAATTCTTCGCAGTCCGCTCTCGTCAGGCAGCGGTAGTGGAACCCCGATCTCATTCCAAACAAACGTGAATCGCTCCAAAACAAAACGATGGGTGGAAGCAAAGCAATATTCTTATGATGGGGGTGACTGGGGTAGTGACGAATATGAAGAGGAGGAAGAGGAGGTGCCTCCCGCAGTATCTCGGCCTCCCTATGCCTCCCGCCACACTGGCAGTTCGTCTGAGTTGTCCTTAAGGCGTTTGTCTGGCATCGGATTCGGAACCGGGGCCAGTGAGTCGAATTTGGCTGATGGCAAAGGTAGGAGCCTTAGTGGAGGAGACCAGAAGACCCTTCCATTTGCAAGGCCTGCCGACCGCTACAAACGCATGCGCGAGGAGAAAGCGACACAGCAGTCTCCTACCACCGATATCAATGACCCCCAGCCTGAGGTGTGCGAAGTTTTACCTCAAACAAACAAGCAGAGTCCTCCTTTGGGTCTACCGGAAGTCAAGCGCATGTCTAGTTTTGGTGCCGATTTCTTGAGTGGTACAGACTCCAGCACGCCAAAGGATAGCTCTGCATCCCAAGAACCTTCATTGCACCACAACCCCTCGTCGGGATTCCGATCGGTAGTGAATCAGGCCTTCGATGTCCCAGAAACTCCACCATCCACTACCACTACTGTCACGCGGTCGAACAGCGATGACACTTCGATGATCAGCCCTATCATGGGCGTTCGGACTAGGACTGATGAAAGAGCACCCACTATTCTCGAGGAGCCGAATGATGAGTCGAGTTCTCTGAAGGCAACTGGGAATGCGATTCCAGGGTTTAACCCAGGACATCGCCGGGACCTGAGCCTTCCTAGTTCTGACAACAGTCCTTCGAGAATACCTCAAGTCACAGACCAGGAAACCCCATTGGCGGGCTGTGCAGAACTGTCTTCCATTCCTCTCCTCCAGAATACCTCGCCGGAATCAACTAATGCGGACATCTCTCCTCAGAATCCATTGATGCAATCACTGTCGACCAATGGGCAGGATATGCCTGCCCCTCTCAAATTTGGAAACGCATCAGGCCCTGACGCCTTCCGTAGCGAAATCCCCACCATTATGGCAGCCGAAGAATCGCCACAGAATACTGACAATGATCGCTTGAGGGAAGAGATTATTCGATCATTAAGTCGGGAAACAACCCCAATGGAAGACCCGGAACCCAGCAACCAATCTCTATCGCAGGCCTCTGCTGAGTCCGTCCCGCACCAGGAAATTGTTTCTGGCAGTCACCCAGAATGGACTAGCCCGCCGCCTTTGCCGCCTCGAGACCCTTATGCGACCAGTCAAGGCGTGGCTGGTAACTATTCATCCACGATCATTGATCAGCCAAAGAAGCCTAAGTTGGAAAGGCGGTTCTCATGGGAATCGTCCGATTCGTCAGACCCTGGGCCACCTCAGATACCCGGCAGCTATTCATCGCCCCCTCGTTTAGCCACTTCGTCATCTACGCAAGAGCCTGAGCCTATACATGAGAAGGCCACCACATTGGCGTCGGACGTGTCGCACGACCCGCTTGCTTCTGAAGACGAAAGGTCCGTTACTCAGCGTGCTGTGGAAAGGCCTCGACTTTCGATCGTTCCACCTATCCCAGAAAACATGACACCGCCAGAGCAAGTCATGGGACCAGGGACTACACCACCCCCGCAACAAGTCTCTTTAAACGCCGGCAGCTCGTCCCTCGATGAGTCGAAACTTTTAGGCTTCCGTGATATTCTCGGTATCTCATCTATCAACCAGCGTATCAAGTCTTTTGACCACACCCGCGACCAGTTCGCCACCATTGACACTGGTTTGAACCATTGGCTACAGTTCACAGTTCATGAACACCCCGAGCATGCCGACGTCGTCCAACGGAGCCAAAATCTCTCCCCTACCGTGCCACCATCAGATGCTTCTCGCAGCAGATTTCCTAAATTGGGTGCTCTTTCAAATCTCGGTGCCTTGAATGACGGTACTTCGGCTAGCACCACTCACATCAGACGCCCGTCGGGCCATCTCGGCACCGTGATTAACAAGGACAAAGTTGGGGAGAGAGGAAAGGAACTATTCCACACTGCGGGGGCATTTAGTGGCAAGGCAATGGGGCTGTTTGCCAAGGGCAGAAGCAAGTTCCGACCCAGCGGAGGTTCTGAGAAGGTAGATGCATGATTTTTTTTTTCTTCCGAGCGAGTTGTTTACTTGGGTAAGCACGGTGGAGGCCGTTGCTTTAATGTTTCCCTTCTGATATCGCTGCGTTGCTTCACTTTCTAGATACCTCGATGTAATTTCGAGCACTCTTTTTGGCATTGAGCTCTAGAATGAGACACGATTGACGCATCTGCCCTTTTTCCACAATCTAACACCCCCTTCCTTGTTTGTTTATGTTCTGATGATGGTAATGTTGTAGGTTCAGTCAACTCCAAGTGTGTCTCGTCGCAGCTTTCAGTTCTCATTCCCTTCAGGGTCGGGTGAGGCGCCTGGTAACTCTTCTTCTCTACGAAACTCAGTCACTCTTGCCAGCCTGCCAGCCTTCATATCCAAACAAACCGGGCTCAAGCCTGACCCTGATCCACCGGTTAGTCTTTGTCTAGATCATCCTGAGGATGAACACAATACCGGCAAACGTGTCGAGGCGACCAAATCGGGAAATAACTACCTGTCGCACAACCCTGTTGGAGAAACAACTGTGCCACCGAAGCAACTGTCATCTTCCAACGGTGTTCCCCTCAATCCTGAATTTCCGGGAGAATCTGTCTTTGCTGGAGATTTGGAGCAGGAGATGATAGATGGGCTTGGTCTGTCGCCTGCAGACCCTCATCATCGAAGGGCGGCAAGTACTCCGACGGCATGGAATGCATTTAGCCAGATTAATGGTGGGAAACAGCAGGTTGCAGAGCCATTACTACGGCCGGGAGAAAGCCTAACTGGCAATCAATCCGATGCTGTAGGGCTGGTGAACAAAGCCGCTGTCGCAAAAATGAGTTTGCCAGTCATTCCTGACGAGCCTTTCCAATTTCCCTTTCCGGTCAGCAACAGCCAGAAGCATCAGCCAAGCAAGTCTACACCGGAGGTTGTTATCCCGTCAATCCGTCCACTGCTTGATCAAATTTCTAATCCTCCTTCGCCTCCTCCCAATGATTATGATATTGGGCTTGTCCCTAGCCAGAGTCATAGATATCATCTCTCTGTCTCATCACTCGGAGTGTATGAGCAACGCGGGAATATATCTAATGAGGAAATCGACAGAGATCCCCCTTCACCTTTGCAAGAGACAAAAAATGAGCTAAAACCAGAACCCTGGGATGGACCCAAGGTTGGGCATTCTTTGAATGACGCTTCTAGTGACTCCCAGTCATCTGCTCAAGTGAAGAGAAGGTCTTTCATACCTTTCTATTCATCAGGGTTGTCAAAGCTCACAAGCTCTGCCGACGTCCTCAAATCCGAAAAAAAATTAACCAATGGCCTACCTCCATCTGCTCCAGATTTCCACAGTCCCTTGAGAAACGAAGTCAGATACATACCGGAAACTCGAAGCAGTGTGCTGGGCTTCGAAAGCTTTGGAAAACAGAGCGCCAACGGCAAAGAGACTGGCCTGTCCACACCTGCTAACGTTCTTCCGCAACCTTCGGAATCGGGATCTCCTGCAAAGAATGGGAGCTCTACTATTGGAAAACTGAAAGAGTTCAGGAGACAACGACACGCTTCGGTGGGAGATCTCCTCTCAGGTGTTCAACTGCAAGGACCCCAAGCGCCCCCGGCAGGTCAACGCAAACGAACATTCAGCAGGATAAGCGTATGTCGACTCTGGACAGTTCTTTTGGTTTCTTTTTCTGACTCGACCAGGTATTATTTGGCCGGCAAAACTCTCAAAATCCTGCGAGAAAATCGACCACCCACACAAGGTCTGCCTCAGAGCAGCTGCAGAACAAAGATCGGCCGAAACACACGTCGACAACTGGAACTTCAAATACTAGCTCTGCTGCACAGGATGAACCTTCAATTATCCATAATCTGTTTGAACCAAAGCATTTGCCAACTCGTCCCCCCGAGCCTAAGGCACCTCCACCACCACCAAGAGACACAAAACTTCTACCCTGCGATGATCGTCAACGTGCAGGTAAAATTCTTCCACACAGTTCCTCGTCCAACTCACTGGCCACTGGTCGGTTCTACTCGCACTTTCAGTCTGGATCCACGAATCAAATTTTCACCGGCTCTCACCATCTCAGCCACCCTCTCCTAGGTCAATCCCGGTCACCTTCGCCCATGTCATACTCCGAGAACATAGCTGCACATCCACTGTCCCTGCTGGAGGAATCGCAGGACAACCGGGTACATGAACTGCACGAAGAGCACACGTCTCGTGTACCTGGGGAGTGCCTTCGACACGAACTATGTGGGGAGATGCCCGAGGCAAAGCAGAACCACTCGGGTCAACAATACGAATTACAAGGCGATCTCAATCAACAAAGTCTGACTCCTCAGCCCAACACTCGATCCCGAACTCCATTGGCTTCGGGCTCAGCCTCCCCATCTCCTGAGAACCATGAGTCCTGCAACATCGCCGTCTCAAATGCCTCCGTGCATCCTCACCGCAGTGAGAACGAGGCTCGCGTAGTCAACTACCCGCCTCACCCAGTAGAGCTTGCCATTACCGCGGATGACTCCAGCGAGGAGATCGTCATGTCCCCCACATCCTACCCCGGACAGGAGTGGACACCCATGCATTTGTAGCACGTTTGATTAGAGCGCATATGATACCCACTGTCGCCTTTTGGGGGGTTCTTTTGAACCGCGGAGTTGTATTTGTTTCCTTTTTGTTTTTTTCTTTTCTACCACACACACGTGTATCCTGAGGTTCGAAAACTAGCTCTTTTTTTCATTGACCTTTTATATATGGCATCTCTCCAATAATTTGATCATGTTCATCAAGTATACCGAACACTAATTAACCACCCCAACCAAACCTAGCAACAATCCGCAGTCCTACAACACAAACTGCCCTTAGAAACAAAAGAGAAATGCGACCAAGAAGCCCCTTCTCTCCCGCCACTCCATTAACAGCAAGAAAAACACACACATAACCAGTCCAAAGCCACCGGCGGCTTCGACCGTGATTACCACCGCAACTTCTCCGTTTACCTCCTGGGCATCCAAACTTTACGATCTAATGTTTTTCGTGCTGTGAAGATTCCGGGGAACAAAATCCCCAATTACCATACAAGAATGGACGAAGGGGAGATGTGCGGACTCGTACGGGACTTTGGAGGGGAAGTCCATCAGGGAGATGCGTCAGCAGCATGGCAAGGATAATAAGAACAACATTAGAATGAATGATAAGGTGTTAGCTAGCAGGTAGTGCTCAAACGAGAAGCTCACTACAAGACAAAGTCCACTCAATTGCCCTTAACAACCTCCCAATCGATCCAATCCACATCTCCGAAGACCTTCTGCGGAGTGCTGTACGGCTCGAACTGCTCCCATCCAAGAAGAGTAGTAAAGCCACCCTCAAGACGAGCAGTCTCGTTGAAGCCAGGTCCGTAAGTCTCATACTCCGCCATAAGCGTAACACCCTTCTCAAATCTTCCAGGGCCACTGCCAACCCATTCAATGTAACCCTGAGGAAGAATGCTGCCGTCCTCGTAGGAGCGCGCAAAGATCGACCGGTGCAGGCCGTTCCATGGCCGGCCCAGCGCACACGCACCCTTGATATCGGCCGCGATGGAGGTGTTCGCGGCACGGACATTGGAGTCAACAATGTACACACCGTACTTGTTGGGAATGGTAGTGTTCGTGCCTTTCCAGGCGGTGATTCCGCCGCCACAGCCGCGGAGTTGCAGAGCGCTGGATTGGATCCAGGCTGTGCCGAAGCCGTAAAGGAAGTCGGTTTCGCCGGCTAGGATGCTTTCGTAGAAGTAGGCGTTGCCGAGCTTGCCAATGTAGACCTGTAGGGAAGGATTAGTGGATGGTTGGCGGGGTGAGGAAGCCGTACGAATGGGATGAACATACAGTATCCTGGTAGGAATAGAACCCGCAGTAGTAGAATCCACCATTGGCACGGCTGAAGCTCAGCGCGTGTGCCGGTCCATTGGTGTACTCGGCCCAAGTGTTGTCAAAGTCAATGTTGTACACGCGGAAGTCCTTGTTTCCGAACGGCGTGTCAGCGGGCACGGGATAACCGTTCGTGCCTGATCCCGAGAAACTCGCTTCGAGTGTAGGTGCTACAACGAAGACGCTGGAGTACACGTTGTCAACGCCGCGGGTGTTGTTCTTGTTTCCGGCAGCCCAGGTGATGCGCACGCGGTTTTGGGTTGCGTCTTTGGGGAAAGTGGTTTCGCCCAGAAGCGTGATTGGGCCTGAGCGAGTGACGTTGACTTGCTCGGTGTAGTTGCCCTCCAGGATGAGAATCGTCTGCGGGGTTGCATCATCTGGGAGAGAGTTTATGGCGGATTGAATGGTAGTGTGAGAGGCGCGTTTGGAGGTTGGGCTGACAATGATGGTTCCTGGTGGACATTGGGTGCCCGTGGACTGGCAGATTTGTCGGGAGCTGGGCTTGATGGCGATGGTGTTGGCTCCCAGGGTGTGGAGGAGGAGACCCAGCAGGGGGAGGATGGATGGAAGCATCTTGATGGGTGGTTTCTCACTTCTGATGAGTAGGGTCTACGGTGGTTTCGACCATTCTTTTATATGGCATTTGGAGAAGGGGCTTGTGTACAGCATAGACGCCAGTGCCAGTTGCGGTGTGAGACGAATTATTGGGAGATTCCTGCAAGAGCAAAGACTAGTGCCCAGATAGGTTAGAAGTTGCGTGAATTGTGGTGTTTCTCTATCCTTTGTGCACGCAGAGGTGTATCTCGGTGGGGTAATAGGTGGGATTCACTCACCTACTTTGAAAGCGGTCAGTAGATCAGCATATCTCTCCCCTAATTGAATTTTGAAGTATATTTAGGATTAGCGCTGTTTTAGAGCAATATCATTCCATCTTGCGGGATTTTGGAAGGGTTAGGGAGTCAAGGACTGATGGAAGGAATTCAATAACCGTTGAAATTTGCTGGGATTCAGGTTGGATTAGTCCACACAAAATTGGAGTGATCCAGTTTACACTCTACTGTTGATAACCAGGGAGACAGGTATGATTGGAATGTCCAGACTTTCTGAGTAGGGTGAAGAGGTTAAAACCAGAATAGGTTATACACTAGCGCACTGAGGTGGGGTGAATCCTACCCACCCACACCCTGTGTCCTGAGAAGATAGAGGGTCTACCGGTGAAAAGGTTGTCCCCACTGGAAATTCATCGGGGGAAAAGGATTGGCACGGAGAATTGGCTTCCACCTGTGAGCGTTGGAAATTGGGGATTGTGACACACACGGGGCAACCAAGGTAGATCAGGAGGACATGAAAAGTGAAGCCAAGAGAAGGGCACCGAGATATGAAGGCTGGAAGGTTACGAAACGAGAATTGGAAGTTACAATAAAGACAGAAGTGATTAGAATCCCTTAGATTGACTAAGTGCCACTATTAACGACATACATACACGTAAAGAAAAAAAAAAACATGACTCCGGCAACTCGAAAGCAGACCACAGCCACGGGGTAAATCAAACACACAAAAGTCTATAATACGGGTAAAAGGAAGCGAGAGAAAAAGTCGGACGACCTTTCTGACTCCCACGGCATGCATGTTCAACTAGGTGGCACGGCAAAATTTGCGGGTAATCGCAGGGAGATAAAAAAAATTAGACCTCGAATCAGTAACGAGTTGCAAAAATGGCTAAGAAACGAGCATTTACTCGTTATCCTCAATCTCCTCGGCGCGGGCACCGAGGGTGTAACGGACCTTTCCTTCCGAGTCGTGATCCATCTCGATGGCGAGCTTGGAAAGATGGGCGATCATGTTCTCAATCTTGGTGTCGGCCTTGGAGCGGGTCTTGCGGCCAAGGTTGTCAAGAGCGGGAACAATGGTCAGGAGGTAGTACACAACGGCAATGATGACAGTCACACCGATGGAGTACGCCCAGATGACAACGACGGTGACAATGTCGACATCGTTGTTCTTAGAGAAGCCAGGGCCGGCGGGATCACGAGGAGAGGTCTGCTTCCAGTCGGGTGCGAGCCAGCCGAAGACACAGAACAGGGTGGCAAGGACATCGACAATGAAGATGGCAATCACCAACTGCCACGAGGGCCAGGTCTTTCCACCACGGGTAACGAAGATGAGCCAGTTCTCAGTCAGAGCAATCTCGAGGAAGAGAATCTCCTGGGGAGAACCGAAGTTCTGGATGATACCGCCGTTCTCGAGGAAGAGAGTGGCACGGATAATCCAGGTGGCGGCAGCGAGAAGGAATCCAAGAACAACGGAGATGACCCAAATCTTAGGCAACTGCCACTCGACAGGGCGGGCCTCGAAGTGGGCATTATCGTAAGCAACAGCAATGGTGGCAAGATCAGCGAACAGGGCGATGAAGACAATCAGGGAAGAGTCGACAGTCTCGTTGATAATGATCATGGAGGTAACCAGGTAGATCTCAAGGTGAAGACACAGAGCAATACGGTACTGAATGTAAGCCTTCATGCGCTGGAAAATCTGTCGGGCAAGCTTGATAGCATCGACGATGGTGGAGAGACCGGGGGCGAGGAAGACAATATCGGCGGCAGCCTGGGCAGCCTCAGTGGAACCTTCGACAGCGATACCACAGTCGGCCTTCTTGAGAGAGGGAGCATCGTTAACACCGTCACCAGTCATGGCAGTCAAGTGACCACGCTGCTGGAGCATCTCGACGACCTGGTACTTGTGCTCGGGGAACACCTCAGCGAAACCATCAGCCTTCTCGACAAGGTCGTGCTGGGCGGAACCAGCGAGACCACCGTGGATCAGACGCTCAGAGTTGTAAACCTTAGTACCGAGAGCAAGCATCTTGCAAGTCTCCTTAGCGATAGAGATGGCATCACCAGTAAGCATCTTGACGGAGAGACCGAGAACCTGGGCCTCAGCGATGGTGTGGGCGGTATCCTCACGGGGGGGATCGAACATGGGGTACATGCCCAGAAGCTGCCAGGGCTCACCCTCCTTCTGAACGGCGACACCAAGGGAACGGAAACCACGGCGAGCGAACTCAGTGACCTTCTCACGGTAGAGCTTGGCCTCCTCAGCGGAGCATTCGGACATGTTGAGGATGGCTTTGGGGGCACCCTTGGCGCAAATGTAACGGACACCATCACAAGTACAGACAGTGGTGATACGCTTGGAAACGGGATCGAAAGGAGTGTACTTCTCAGTAATCCAGTTGCGGGAGAGAATCTCACGGGCCTTGGGGTAACGGCGGAGGGTGAGAACGGTAACCTTATCGATGGGGTCCAGGTTCTTGATGTTGTGGGAAGAGGCAATAGCAGCGACGGCCATCATCCAGTTGACATCAACACCCTCAGAAACGTAAGGCTCACGGATGGAAAGCTGGTTGGCGGTGAGGGTACCAGTCTTGTCAGAGCAAAGAATGTCGACACCGGCAAGGGACTCAATGGCAGTGAGCTTCTGGACAATGGCCTTCTGCTCGGCGAGGTAGGCGGCACCGACAGCGAGAGTAGTGGTGGTGACGACGGGAAGACCGACGGGAACACCGATAATCAGAAGAATCAGGGTGTAGTGGAGGAGGTTGTTGTCGTTCTTCTCGGGGGTAGCGATCTTCAAGTGACGGAAGAAACCACCAATCCAGGCGGCGAGAATCCAGAACATGACGAGAACAAGCAGGGAGGTACCGATGTTGTCCATGACAGCCTTGAAGTGACCGGTGTCCTGAGCACCCTGGACAAGGGCGGCAGTCTTACCGACGAACGAGTGGCGAGCAGTAGCAGTGACAATACCGTAGGCCTTGCCGCGCTTGCAACCGGTGGTGTAGTAACAGACATCAGCCATGTACTTGTCGACAGCGAGAGATTCACCAGTGATGGCGGACTGATCACAGGCAATGAGAGAAACACCCTGGTGAGTCTCCACATCGTCGTCATCATCACCGTGCTTCTCCTTAAGATCGTCGGAAGTGGCGTTGGCGAGATACTCCTTGTAGTGTTCGAACATCTCGGGCTTGGTGTAGTCACAGATCAGACGGACATCGGCAGGGATAACGGTACCCTCCTCGACGATGACGATATCTCCTGCAACGAGCTCACGGGCGAGAATCTCCTCCTCCTGGCCGTTACGGACAACGATAGCACGCATAGCGATGTCACCCTTGAGAGAAGCAACGACATCGGCAGCCTGCTTCTCCTGGTACCAACCGACGAGAGCATTAAGCATAAGAATACCACAGATAACACCAAGATCAATCCAGTCACGCAGACCGGCAGCGAGGAGGACAGCAAGTTCCATAACTGCAAGGCAAAAGACCGTTAGCATCTACATGGCACCAGACACTTGAATTCAGGTGCTCCACATTACTTACCATAGAGAATGGGACCACGGAAGTAACCAATAAACACAATGAAGATGTTAGTCTTCTCAGTAACCAGCTCGTTCCAGCCGGTCTTCTTGCGACGAGGCTCAATGTCGCTGGAGCTCAGACCGGCACGGAGATCGGTCTGGAGCCAGTCATCGGGGGTGACGAAACCATCCTGAACACCGCTGGCAGCACCTCCGAACTTCCACCAAGGCTTCTTTTTCTCAGAGCCAGTGCTCAGAGCACCGGCGCTAGATGTAGAGGCACGACGGTTGTTCTGGGCAGTTGAGATGTAGCGGTTGAGAGCAGAGTACTCGTCGAGATTGCTCTCCTCACCAGCCTCACGGGTGTGACGCTCACCATTTTCGACGTCAACAGCATAGGAAATTCTCCGCTCCGCCATTGTTGTTGATTCGGCTCACACAGCCTTGGGACCCAACGATATGAGTGAAAACAACGAAATGACGATTATGACAGAGTCAGAATAGATCCTATGTAAAGAGAAGAAAGGAAAAAAATGAGCCAGGCGAAGGAACGTCTGTTTTATAATGGATTACTGGGGGGTCAAACCCGAAGTGGGTAGGTAGGTGGATACTGAGAGAAAAGAGTGAGAGAAAAAAATAACATAAAATAAAATTCAAAATTTGGGACTAAAAAAAAAAGAAAAAAAAACATTCAAAATGGGGTGAGAGGTATTTTGCATGAAATCCCGTGTTTGTCAATTTGAGGGGAAAATACTTCTGAAAATGGTTGCTGGGGGAGGTAAAACCTAGGTACTTTTCCCGCTCATCAGTCATTCTTTTTCGGATTATTTTGACTTTTTGGGGTTTTTGTGTTTTTTTGGTTTTTTATTCCCATTTTTCCTTCCTTTTCCAGTTTAGCCCTATGGATTCTCTTGGTTGATACCAGACTTTACCCCTTGCCCTACCAAGAAAGCTCCAACCGGACACCCGGCTGCAGCCAGTTATCTTCAAGGTACAACAAAATTTGTGGAGTCCTTGCTGCGTTCGGGTTAGTCCCAAAACAATGAAAAAACCTGATACCGATACCACTCTCCCTCTGAAGGTCTTTTCTACCGGCACTGAGCTGCCGAGTTGGCCTCCACAGATCACTTTCGTATGAATTGGTTCCAAATTTTACGCAAGTTTACGCAAGTTTCTACACCTTAGCTGATGTGCCCCAGTTCTGACTATGC